CCGCTTTTATTATTATTATTTTTTTTAATCTTACCATAAGAATGCTGTGATGTCTTGTTTACTTCTTTCTCTAACTTTGATGCTCTCGTGTGGCTTCTTTCCTACCACAGGAATTTTGCAAGTCTTTGTATGCGGTGAACTTTTGGATGCAGATATAAAAATTAAAAGATCTTGAGTAAATCCTAAACAATGGCTCCCAGCAGACTGCATTAAGTACTGCAGTCAGTGCTGCTCGTGGATTCCTGTCTAGGGGAAGGTGATGTAAATCCTAGAGCCAGTTCTGTGTGCTCAGTAAAATGCTGCTTATTTGTGTAAAATCTCTGGCACCTCAGGAGGTTTTACACTCGATGGTGCCTTGGAACCAAAGTAAGGCTTTGGGGGTGGGAGTTGGAGGGGGTTTTCTTTAGGCCTGGAGTAATGCTTTCTTAGTCACTTCCTCAGACAAATCATAGGGATTTTAAAAAACTTTCTGGCTGCTTCCAGCAAAAATTCACTTGTTTTGAGGTGGGGCTTCTGAGGGGTGAAGAGCATTCAGAACTCTTTGGGAGACATGCATTATGTTTCCGTGCCCTTTTGTACATGTTCCTGGTATTTCTTGAAGATAGCACTAGGACAATTTTTGATGAGTTCTCTTCTTTCTATAGTATTATCTGCATCCTAATTTCTGAATGAATAATCCACTTTTTAATTCTATACCTGTTACTCTCTTTTCCTTGTCCAGCTACAGACAAACAATACTGACTCTGCCAACAGAGTACACAGTTGCAGTTGTGGAAAGACTGATTTCTGTGTAAATTTTGAGGTTGCTGAATGGTAACTTTCAGTGCTGGAGTGATGTGCTTTGGTTTTTTTTTTTTCCTTTAAATCCTTTTTAACCACGTAGCCAGAACAGGTTAACTGCATTGCTGGTTAGCTGTTGCTTTTGCCACTAACCTTGATTTGAGCGCAGAACTGTCCTATTTGTAAAATGCTGTGTTTATCTTCTTAAACGACATGCTTCAACTCTGTTTTCTGTTACTATACATTTATTAGATTTTGCCTCAGAAGTTAAAGAAACTTGCATGTACTTTATGCTTTATGTTGTACAACAAAAAAACCCCAGTGTCAGCCTCTAACTTTAGGTGCAGTTCCACGACGTTTATGCTATTTAAATACAAAGCTGCTCTAGTTAAATCTTCTAAAATAAGCTTAACTGGGTTGTTGCAAGACTTTTTCTGTAAAATCTAAACTTGAAACCACATGGAATGTCCTTTTAACATCTAATGTTCTGTGGTAGTTTGTTAGATCACACACATGTAATTTTTTCTATATGAAGGCCAGTAAAAAGCACGAAACAACTGTTTTTAAAAGGTTAAGGTTGGTAGGTATTAGGAATTATCTTATTATGGGTAAGTATAAAAATGCAGAGAATGTTCTGAAGGGATTTAAAGCAATTCAAAATATTTTTTGCTTTAGAAATGAACTACACCCGCTTTAAGTTTCCCTATCAACCCAAACCAGTTAAAAATGGGAAAAAAAAAAAAAACCAACAAACTGGCTAGGAAAGGTTAAAATAATCAAAATAGTACAAAACTGGAAAAAGTTACTGCTTTTTTCATCGTTCTGTAGTTAAAATTGCTGCTACTTAGGTTTAGACAAGACCAGCCTAAACTGGTTATTTACAGAAAACCCTTGTAAATACTAATTACAGTTCTATGTATAAGGTTGGTTTTTTAATGGGAAGGTCAACCAAGTTCTTAGTTTTCCACAAATTCAGGATATTCCTATTTCTTCCCATCCTTCCTGTCTTCAAAGTTTTGTTCTATATCAATGAAGGAGTGCATGCATTTATCCTAACATACTCTTATGCAGAAAGAGAGCAGGCAAAGTTTCTTGGTAATACGAAGGTGAGGTACCTGTGTCTTCCCACTCCAGTAAAACTACCCCAGATCTTTTGGGAATCTGGAAGAATGATTAAACCAGCTGTCTCACATCTTTGCTTAGGAAGCTTGTACTTGCGTAGCCCACTCGTCGGTCCTGTGTCTGCCGTTGTGGGGTTGGAAGAATATCGTGGCTGTGTACCTATGCCCAGCTCCCATTTCCATGAGAACTGAGGAGGAGGAAGGACAGCGAGAGTGACAGCTGAATGCCTTGGAGGAACAAAACCCAAGCTTAAATACAGGGAGATCCTGAGTTCTGATGTTGACTGTCACTGGGTTGCTTTGTGGCCTTGAGTGAAGCATTGATTTCAGTTTCTTCTTATCTCAGTCTTTTCCTTTAAAAAGGCAAGGAAATAGAATTACAGTTGCTTTAATTAAATTATTTTTAGAAAACGTGAGGCAAGCTTCTACTTGGCCTTTTCCTTAATACTAAGAATATGTCAGGAAATAGACATGTCAAAGCTTTAGCTGCTAATAAAACGTAGGGAGTTCGGTACGTAGGCTACTGCAACGTGTGTTGCTGCCAAAAGATAGCTTTGCTGAAAGCTAGCTGGGAAGTATGTGATGTATTAATTTTATCATTTCACGAGGTGTGAACATCTTGGGCACTAACAGTCAGTTGATTCCCAAAGGCACTCAAAAAAGCCTGTCCTTAAAAAAGGAGCTTGTAGGCGTACAAGCTTTTTTTTCTTACTAAAACTTCTAATAACTTCGATTCTTCAGACAGCTGCGTCTGAGGTGCGTTCAGGTAGTTACTTTTGCCCAGTTGTCGAAAACACAGAAGATTTTTGTGGTTCTTTGAAGCAGTTTCTAATATGTTTGGAGATTGGTAGACAAATGTGTTGGGTATAATACTTGCACTGGTCCTTAGGAAGGTGGCAGAGCTGCACAGTGTTTTCCTGGGAGCAGTTCTTGTGCTAGTTTTCATCGTATGACTTTCAGGGAACCGAAAATAGAATTCCTGCATTCTGGTGTTTTGTGAGCTATATTGGATGGGGATGTCCATGAACTCAGCAGGAGGAAGGAGCGATGGGATGTCCATGAACCCAGCAGGAGGAAGGAGCAATGGGTGTCCTAGCAGTTCAGCCTTGCATCCGCCACGAGGTGGCTGCTTCTTGCTTTGCACAGACCAGGCCACGTGGGTGCTTGTAACGCCTTGGTGCAGTATGGGGGGGGGGGGGGGGGGGGGATGCAGGCTAACAGGAGATTTACAAGCTTGATTTTTGAAGGCTCCACGTGCTGTTTGGAGGGGAATGTCGCTTTGAGCTAGCTCTAGTGTGGACCAAATGTCCGCTCCTGGCTGAGGTGGTGCTGGGGCATGCATCTACGCGGTTTCCTTTGAAAGAGATTAATTTCCTGTGCTGTGAGACTGTTGTGTTATGTGAACGAAAGCCTGATAGGTGAGGAAGATGTGGTACTTCAAAACTATGGTTCTGTTTGAAAATACAAGCTTCTATTTGAACTAAAATACAAATATAGATGTACTTCACCAGTGGCTCTGGTAATTTGCAATGGAATCGGGCACTTGTGACTGTTAGACCATAATTGCCGGTAAAATACTGTGGCTTTTTTTCTGTCTACGTTGTATGTTGCAAACCCTTAGAAGCTCAAACTGTTCTCTTTGTCCTAGGAAAAAATGACTCTTTAGGTTACTACTGAGATTAAGACCCATAGTTTAAAAACTAGGCTAAAAAAACCTATCTGGATTCAAAGCAGTTAGAGAAACAGACAAGAAACCAAACAAATAATTCTATATTATAGCTCATTTTCTCTGAAATGAAGAAAATAAGTATATTACTAAACTGGGCTACTGGTCTGTATGATGTGCAGGTGATGGATGTTTCATTGGCAGGCCCAGATGATCGTACTGCTTCACCAAGTCCAGTGTCCTGCTTCAGCATTGTCTTTTATGTTTTGGGAAAAGTTGGCCTACACATGCACGAAGCCAGCAGTTCTGTGTAAGGGGCACCGAACCGATTGTGCCTCAAAGCAGAATATTTTATTACTGTAAGCATGAATAACTACAAAGGTAGTGGTAGCTGTGGGGTTACAGTATGTGGCTTGTTATGACAAATGTACATGATCTGAAGTACTTTCTTCTAATTCTGTGAGCACTGGTGAATTTATTTAATCTTTTCTTACAGGCTTTACTGAGCGGGAGATATTTTTTCACAGGACTTTCAGTAGTTCCTCCGGCTCCCTCCACTCCTGGAGTGAGGGCGGTGGCAGAGCTGAGTTGGTACAGTACTGCTGTCTTGCTTCCTCTCCCTCTTCCCAAGTGCATGCAATATTCAGTATTTTCAAGAAGCTGGTTTACAGTTATCTGTAATTTTCTGGCAAGACTCTTGACATGCAGTGAAGCCTCACCTCTCTCTTCTTCCTCAGTAGAATTGCTATGAAGAGAGACAAGGAAGCTGGTAATTTTTCCATCTACGCAGTCTGGGGAGCAGAAAAATCCTATTAACAAGTCTGATACTCTCCAGTTCGTTACCGCATGTCTTGTTTGTATCGCTTTCCTGCTGTCTTTGAGGAGCCCTGGAGTTCCGACAGCCCTCTCAGGTTCTTCCTCAACTTCCTTATTCAAAACTTTGCCTGGGATCAGGATCTTGGATTATGTTTTCCTCACTTGTCTTTCATAATTAATACCAGGGCTACATATTTCGTAAGTATTTTGAACAGACGTTTAAGGTAGTCGGAATGCGTCGCCCACAGGATTTTTTCATTCAAATACAGAAGTGATTATCAGACTATGACAGGACACAACTGAAGATCTGCTGGTTTCCATGGAAGTCCCTTGGTTTATAATAGCTGGAATAGCAGACAGTTCTACAAACAGCTTGTTAAGTGCTTGTGTGGGTGAGTGGGTATGGGGAGCAAGAAACTTGATTGCCTCTGTTATTTGTGCATTAGTACCGTTCTGATGGGAAATTCGTTATTACTTACCTTCAAACTGAATGCCCAGAGATTGACTAAACAAAAGTATGTCTCGGTGCCTCTGAGCACCATTCTTTTGAAACAAAATGTTAGACCATCTCCAGTTCTCTTAAGTTCTTGACACTGGTATTCCGGTAGCTCTGGGATGGCCGCCCTTCAGCAGCAAGTATTGTGGATCTGCCATGCTGGCAGAAAATGCCAGTTCTTTTTTCAGAAAAATAGGGTTGGAAGAGTGAGTTAATTGCCGTAATCACAAAATAATGTGGATTATAGACTTGTACATCCCCCACAATCTATAATTCCCCCAAGTGTCCTCAAATACTTAAAAATTTCTTGAGCAGAAGGGTGAAGTGCATACAAGCAGGAAAGTACTGTTATCATTTCGGACCTGAATTCATATTGTAACTGGTCAGGCTCAAGCTTTCAGTATTTATCAAACACTGGGTTTGTCAGCAGATCCACATGTAAGGCTGGTACCAGAAGCAGTCATTCTGACTCGATGTGCCTTAACATGATCTTGAAATTGCAGGTGCACTAAGGAGTAGTAGTGAGGTGCAGTCTGGCAAGCATACTTCCCTTAAAGAGACACTGTCTGGTTGCATGGATGTGAAAATGGAAGAGATGTTCAATCCCCGCTTTTCATCGTGCCATATGGAGCTTTTTTTTTTTCTCCCCTCTTCCCCAAATGAATACAAGGAATCCGTAACAGCACTTGAAGCGAGATCTCGCTGCAGTGGGTGTACAGCCCTGGAAATCGTTGGCTGGATGGTTAAGGTGGAAAGCAGTGCTTCAGCAAGAGTCCTGGGGTGCGTTCTACTACTCTTATCTACGTCTCCTACAGTATGAGCTGGATTCATCGTTAGCCTTGTGTTCAGTGAATTGAGTTCTGTTTGGGGATGTTTCATCTGCGTAATTTGAGCTCACAAATAAGGAATGACAGTGTTCATAAAGGTTGTGCTGCAGGCGGCTTAAAAATCATTTAGGAAAGCAATTGTCTTTGGTTTCCTGCAGACGGGCGTCATCTCTGCAAATGTCAAGGGAATGGCAAACTGAGGTGCGGAGGAGTAAGGAGTAGCTTTTTCATTAGCACATATACAAGGATGATTGGTGTGACAGAAGCAAATTGGGTTGAATGTATGCTGCCTTCCTTGCTTGAAGGTGGAAGGGGTCTGCTTTTGTACCTGTTCAAAGCACGTAGATAAGTAGCATGGACAGGATTTCTGCTGTTGTGGGACAAGGAAAAATACTTATTTCCTGTACAAAATAGACTTTTGAAGAAGTAGCTCTTGATGCTCTTAAATAGCAGAGCCAAACACCTCTCTCCAAGGTGTTGTCATGTAAGTTATTGGGGTGGAGAAGACCAAGTTCTGAGTTTCCACAGTGAAGTTGCATGTGGAGACTTGGCTGTTGTGGTGGCTTGGCTAGTAATCTATAGAGAACGGTGGAGGAGCCTGCGCTGGTGCCGCTCCACAGCACAAAGAACACTGCTTTTCCATTGCACTGCCTGGACAAACGGGTGCAACTGTGGTCTCCCATCTTCTCGTCCTCCTGATGCTGTTGGCCCTACCTTGGTGCAAGTCTGTAAGAACACACATTGTGCAATCAGTTGCTCTTAATCGCTTTTTACCTTATTTTTAGTGTGTGGACCTATGGGAAACTGGCAGGAGAACACAAAAGTGGTTTTTTCCAAACTCTTTGAACACCTTTTGTAAGGAAGTGACTGTAATCTTAGTTCCTGCAACTAACTATTACTGTCCCTGCTATGCATTGCAGAGGTGAGCAGAGTTGTCAGGCAAGGCATTTGATGAATGTGGAGCAAAATTTTGTCTAGAGTGGAAAATTTTGCATGTTGTTAGCACCTCTTCTAATATGAAGAGGTTTGGCAGTGCTGTACTGTTAAAAGGATGTTCAGAATTTGGACTTCTGTGAGCTTTTAAGGTGAAAATATTTTAGATATACAGTCAGATGAATCCATTTCTTCTTTAAATCTCTTGGTTTAAAACTGCAGAGCCAGCTTCCGAGCGTCTTTCAGTAATAAACACTCCCTAGCAGAGAAAATATCTAAATTAATTACTTGCTGTGTCACATTGTTGCTGACTTGTTTCCCCTATCACTTACATAAACCAGCAGGATAAACAGGCACAGGAAATGGCTGGTAATTCTTTTACATTGTCAAAGGACAATGTTAAGTGTCTGCTGCTGTGAAAAATACTCAGTTCACCTTTTTAAAGGTGGTTTGACTCCTTCTGCTTTTTTTTTTTTGTTACTTTTAAGTATAAAGGATAAGTTTCTCATGTAACTCTGGATGGGGAGGCTTGGAATTACTTCAGAAAATTCATTTTTACTTTGAACGCCCTTTCTCTCCTGTGTGATTGTGCTGGCATTTCTGTATCAAAAGGATTGGACTGTCGGCAATTACCATGATCCTTGTCTTCATCCCAGCTTTGAATCCAGTGGACTATTGAATAGGCAAATAAAACCGGCTGGTTCAGGAAGATGAAACAGAGTATCTGACTGAATTTCGAATTTCATTAGAAGGAAGACTGAGACAGGTAAACATCAAGAGGATGAGATGAATCTGTTTATGCTCAGCCCCTAACATGACTGAATTTGCAGGAAGATCATCTGAGAGCAGCCCCCAGCCTTGCTGCAAGGCCCTTTACCTGCAATGCAGTGCTGTGCATCTGCAGCTAGGTGGTGGAGGCAAATCCCTCTTCTCCCTCACTCGTGCACAAAGCTTTGCTGCGTTCGAGAAGAACCAGCCCCTCTGCCTGCCGTTGATGTCCCCCTGATCAGTGTGGCATCTGATTTTTAATGGCTCTTTCGAAAACTATTGGGCTGTCTTCAGGAATATCTTTATCAATGGGAGGCCGTGCTTCATGCAGGTAGGTTACCCTCTTCTAATTTTTGTCCTGTGAATTTGCAGTTCTTCAGGCATTCCCCAGGGAATAAGGACTTTTGGGAGGGTCTCTAGGTGCAGATTCACATGAATTCCGTAAAAGATCTAGCGTTTTGCCCTAGCATTGTTGCTCCATGTTGTTTTCCTTAAGTAAAATGTTACTATATAGTTGTAGAGAGACCCTGCAAATCCAGTTAATTCTGGTGATTAATTAGCACATTGAGGGAGCAGAAGTAAAAGGTTATCAAGGTGTTCTTAGTAGAACAAAGGTAGCTGTAAAAAAAAAATAAAAAGTACCCTAGAACACTTGATTTTTAATGTGTAGACTGCTAACCATTTCTTATAGGCTCTTTCTATATTTTATCTGCATTTTGCAGTATTGCTGACAGCTGTTCCAGCTGTCATCTTTAAATACCGAGTATGGATTTTTCTGCTGTCTTCAGCAGCCTTTTGTGCCTTTTAGAGTACTGTCTGTGTGAGCGAAGCAGGCAGATGAGGGTTGTGGTTTTGTGTATCAGGGTTTTTCTTTGGTATTAATACATATTCTGCACTGATTAAGTCTCTCTTAATCCGTATCTGCAGTTGACGTGGTCACTTTGGGGGAAGAAGGTGATGGGATGTAATAGCATCTAAGGAATTTTCGCAGGAAGGCAAGGGAAGGCGATGTGTTTTGGAGGCGATTTCCTAAAGGAAATAGCACTGTAGAAATGTATGTGACCTGAATACAGCTCACTATCAGGTTAGTTCGTCTAATAGATGATAATACAGAAGTGAAATGCTTTTGGATCCCCAGGACAGACTGGGATGCAGAGTACAGGGTGTGTCATGTACGAGGTTGTCAGCAGCATGATTCGTCAGCCCCTGAGGAGGGGTGCAGAAAGCTTCCAAGAGAGCGGGGTTCGGTGCTTCCAGTAACTTCCTCCTTGATGCATGAAATTACTATTATTGAAAAGCACTGGGACTGCGGAATGGCATGATGTTTCTGTCTGCATCAGTGGGTCTTAAGATGAATTTTCTTTTGAATCTGTTCTACTCCCCTACATCTTGCACAGTTACAAAAGCAAAAATCTTGAAGCTGCATTGGGGACAATTACTCTTTACTACTTACGCTATGGGTGTGGCTGCTGGGCTTAAATTCTCCTTCCTATCCAATTCTGAGTTCTGCTTCTCTTTACCCTGTCTATAGGATTTGTTATATATGAGCATCCAGTCTCTCCTTCGGCCATTCTGTCCGTGGCCCCTTCTTGCCTTTGCTACCTGCTATTAATTTGGGGATAGTCTATGGCTTTATTCATAGCTCGGTTGTCCCCAAAGCAATGCAGCAGTTTTAAAACAGCTTTTTGACCCCTGAGAGGTTTGGGGGTTTTTTGCTCTCCCCCACCCCTGTTTCCTTTTTCTTACCCCCCAACTTGTAATTCTGTGGCTCACAGGGGAAGAAGTCTAAATTCTAAATATCTCGGGGCTGGATCAAGTTATGGGGTTGTTAATAAATGTCTCGTTAGCCTGGCAGCAGTGGAATGGACTGTCTGTCAGTCTTGTTTTATGGTTCAGGGCCACTAATCTGTGTTGTTTATCTGTTCCTGAATTAAAAAAATCAGGTTTGACAACAGACTTAAAATTACTAATTAGTTACTTAAAATTACTAATTAAAACTTACTAGCTCTGACAACAGACTGAAAGTAAATGTCCAATGGTTTCGTTGCGCCGGGATGACCTTTGGAGCTCCTCTCTGCTGTAATGAACTTCAATCCCAGACTGTAAATGGTGGAACACGTGATTTCTTCCTTTTTATGCTCCATAGGTATTTAAGATGGCTGTAGTTTTAATGTGTAGTAACATATTTCATGTATGAGGTCTCAGCAGAGTGTGTGTGTAGTAGGTAAATGCTGTCAACATTCATTCTTCTGTATAACTGCTTGAAAGATTCAATTTGTCCCATGGATTAAGATTAGTATGGCCGTGATACGATGCACAGGACTCCAGCCGAGTTACAAGCTCTAAAAACTGCATCCGAAAGCCCATGCGCGTTAGCATATCCACTGGCATAACCAGTGGCTGTCTTGGCAGTTACTCCTTTGAGCAAAATGAGTTGAATTTGAGATAGGGTGGTGGAAGGCATCGGTTATATCTGCTGCTTTGCTGGAACAATAGTTTCAAAACAAGAAGCTTCTGCTAAGTCACGCTGGCAGGGAAGCTCATTCTAAAGAATATTATCTCATGATTGTACGTCACTGCTGTAAAGAAATTTGCCCACCTTTTTGGGCAGCTTCCTTTTTTTTTTTTTTTAATATCTCGTACTTGTAAGAAACAAAACTTAGTGTCAATATCCTGCAGTACTTTGCCATTAAACCTTGTCAATGCAAGTGGGCTATTGGCCTTGTTTTCATTATAAACACTTGCTTGCTACAAAAGGATGCTGAAGATTAAACTTTGTAGACATTTAACCATTCCATGTTAGGCTTTGTGAAGTAAATAACTCGCCTGTTCCAGTATTATCATTTCATGAGCTGTTTGGCTGTAAGCGGTGGGCTGCCAAGAAGGAGGAGTTGGGGCGCAGGGGAGATAATGATGTGTTTTAGCTCAGGGAACTCGAACGCAGCCTAAATGCATGAGAGCAATGGGGTGGCCTTTGCCAATGTGATCTTCACAAGCAGGAACTTAGACTAGCACATTTGGCGGAAAGTTAAACACACAAAATTAATGGGTTTTTGTTTATGAATGTAGGAGTGGAGAAAAAAAAATGCCACCTCGGTGCCTGCTTTCAATCCCTCTGCAATCAAAAGCTCTCAGAAGGGTTTACAGAACATCTGCTCTGCGTACTCCCACTCTCAGTTCAGACAACTATAACAAACTTTAGACCTCCAGTGAAGAGAGAAACTAGAAATGCAGCCTACCCCATGAGCACAGGGGCAGTCGAGGGCAATATTAGGGATTTTAGAGCTCTAAAGTGTCACAAGCAGAAGGGTTGTTAAATGTTCATTTGATCTCAAAGGTGAAAGGGACAATGGGCACGTATTCTAAAACACAGCTTTAATTTTTTTTCCAAAGGAGTAAGAATTAACTGATGTTAGTCTTTAAAATAACATTCATCAACACTTAAACCTTCAGGTTTTATATGTGGTAACATCTTAAAATAGAAATTTGCTTTAGAGAAGTCCTCACTGAATGAAAGGCTGAGAAGGGGTTCAAAGAAGAACATTTTGGTGGGGTCACTAAGCTTTTAACTCGCTATCTTGTCTGGCCTTTTCTTTGTTCCACTATAAAAGCAAATCTAGGTCGTTAAGTTGTATTTCTCAGGAGTATATGAAAAATTGTTTCTGTCTACCTTGATACTAGCTTAGGAGAAAAAGCATTTAAATGTGAAAATAGTGGGGGTTTTTTTAAGGCCGAACACTGCATCTCTTCCCTCATGTGAACCGACAGCTACTGAACTGGAGAGTAACGTGTGTGAGACATGCAGTGTGTTCTCTTTCAGACCCGACACTCAGCATCGGGGCCCTGCTGCTCACTCGGAGAATGATCTTCCAGAGCAAGAGGAAGAAATCCTGGGATCAGATGATGATGAACAAGAGGATCCAAATGATTACTGTAAAGGTGAGAACTTGCCTGTTTAAGGCACAGGATTTTCAATGTAATCAAGAAATTCCCTCAATTTCCCATCTACTATAGAGAATGAAGATAGACTCGCTCTTATTTTAAGTGATTTTTTTGCATGACAATAAGATTTTTCAATATTTTCAATATTTTTCAATAACCTGAAATGGAGAAACTATTTTCCAAGATTCCCTGTATTATCAGTCAAGATTTGCGTTGGAGAGCTGGTTTTAATGCGTATGTTTAAAGCTGTTAGCTTTTCCTCTGTGCCAGAGGGCTTTCAAAATTGTTAAAAGCAAGTAGGCATTCAATTTCTTTATTTTCATCAGAACAAGGACACTTAAATCCTTCAAATCAGTTTCAAATTCTTTGCTGTTTTCTTGTGAAGATCATCTTAGAATCCATGCCAGATACCTTTGCAAATATAGTCTTCCACTGTTCCTCTGAGTAGAAACTAAACACGGAGCAAATGGAAATACCACGGTATATAATTCAGTATCAAAAGGGCCAGGCTTTTTTTAATATGGCAAATACTTTAAAAAGGACAGAACACTCATACAAATTCAGCTCGTCAATTAGTTGAAGGTTCAATGTGTGCCCCCATCTCCAAGTGCTTTGTAAAGCTGCTTCTGTGATACTATTTATTGTATGTATTGAATAAGGCAGAGGGTTAAGCATGTAACAAATGTCATATACGTGTATAAAAAATGCAAAGTAGAAGTAGCGCAGGGAAGTTGAATTACAATGTGTCTTACACTTCAGTGCTTTACTTCAAAGCATTTACATTACTTTTAGCATGCTACCCAAGTATTGGTGGGATTTTGCTTGTTGTAAAGCAAGTGGGAAGAAGAAAGTCATTGTGTGTGAATGAGCGATCGGTGCAGCTGTTGCTGTTGTAAGTGAAATTAAGTGAAGAGAAGGGATTTTTGCTTAAGGTAATGAAGTAACGGATAGGAGTTCTATGTCTTGTTTGTGAACCAGTCAATCAAGAGGGATGAATCTTCCTGGCAAAGTGTGCATTTCATGAGGGGTATTTGCTGACCACAATTGAATAGTAAGCACCCAGAATCTAGGGTGTAATTCCAGGTTCTGGCAAAGATTTATGCCTTAACATTTACGGATTCTTCTCCTCATTCTGTTTTCTGCCAGTTCCCTTGCTTCCCTTGTGTCTTTCTCCGGCCTTCCATGTCTTCGTGCTTCCATCATGGAATCTTCCTGCGTAGTCAGCAGCTGAGAGACACTAGGGGTATGGGGAGGAGACTTTCCTATTTTCAGTGGTGATGTTAAATGGCAAAGTGCCTTTCAGTCAGGAAAGCAGTTGCAAGGAAAAATCCTTTGGGATCTTGGATGCAGTACTCTTTCACATGATGGAGATAGAGCGTGCAAAGGCAATGCTGATATTGAGCTATAAGATTCTGTTGCTGAATATAAACTAACTGCAGGTGCTTTCACTGAGGAAATAGTCTGTTGTGATGCTGCAGTAATGATCTACACTGAAAAGGAGAAGTCAGTCATTCTAGTTCAATTGTATTAAAACTTTTCAATTGTATTAGAACTTTTCAATCAACTAGAGAGCTATTCACAGCTCTTCCTCTAACATACTGTATATTTGCTCTAGCAAGATCCAATTAGAGAAACATTTGCATTTGTTTATATGATTAAAAATTTAAACACATTAAATAAGTCTGCCTCAAGTTGTGATGCTTGTTCCACATACCTGCTCTTCAGCGCCTGCGTGATCTCTTGATGCATAAACTTCCCACTGTTTTTGTAGGTGGTTATCACCTTGTGAAAATAGGAGATCTCTTTAATGGACGATACCATGTGATTCGGAAGCTGGGATGGGGCCACTTCTCCACTGTGTGGCTAGCTTGGGACATCCAGTAAGTCCTTCTGTTCTAGCTAGTGTTTCTGGTGGGAATGCACAGCGTTGGGCAAACATGATCAGAAAGTATCTTTTTACTTCTAGGTAAAAACACAAAGCATAGCTGTCCACATCCTGACACAGGAATTTCTTTTGATACTGTGCATGCAAGTGTGTGGGAGGGAGTTAACAGGACAAACCATATGTGTTCAGCAGTCTCTCACCTATTATTTTATGACAAATTACTAGCATGGATGTTTTATAAAAAAAGACCCAAAGACACTTCATGAGTGCTTAAAACCTCATTTTTCCATGGTACCATAAATAAGTAGCTCTTTTATATGCAAAAGAATTAGGATAATCCTGGAGAATAAGTTCTCTGTATGAGTGTTAACAGTCTCCAATTTACTTACCCTGTGTGTGTAGAGGGAGGAGATTTGTGGCAATGAAGGTGGTGAAGAGTGCAGAGCACTACACAGAAACAGCACTGGATGAAATCAAGTTGCTAAAATCGGTGAGTGCCTGAGGGGTCCATTTTTTATATTTTTAAATTAATTTTGGGGAGTTCACATCAGTTATGTACTTGATATTTCTGGATCATATAGCTGCAAAGAATTTGAATAGGAACCTGACAGTAGTGCAGTAGATCTGACTTCAGAATATATTCTTGCAGAGTAATTACCTCAAGGAACACAAAATTAATCCTCTTTTTCTCTGCAGGTCCGCAACAGTGATCCAAATGATCCAAGTAAAGAGAGAGTTGTTCAGTTATTAGATGACTTCAAGATTTCAGGAGTTAATGGTTCTCATATCCTTTTGTAGAATAAAGGCAAAGAATTGCATAAAGATGGGAGTTTGCTGGGTAGCTGTCATGCCCAGGCATCCCTTTCACTGCCCAAGGAAACCTGCTGTAGAATCATCTGCCTCAAAACTGCCTGCTAAGTCCAGATCCAGAATGATCGTTCAGCCTGATGTAATATGCATTGAGTCACAGAGACGGTGCTGCTTAGTCATGCTTTTAAGATGAGAGATGGGGTGGCTGCATCTGATTTGTGAATCAAGACTGAATGGCTTAGTGTCCGACACTAAGACAGCCCATCTATCTCAACCCCTCCATTTTGCCAGCAGCCTGGTAATAACCCCTTATTTAAGCAAAGCAGTACAAAATGTTAAGGTAGGTAATGAAAAATAGCAAATGCATGCAGTCTATAACTTGATATTAAGGTGGTTTTCTAGTTACGGAAGCATTTTACCTTGGGCTTTATCATCATTGTTAGGATGTTTAAAGTGTATTGCTTTGAAAATCCCCTGTAGTTCTGTGATCAGCCTTCTAATGGGCAGTGATTTCTGGCAAGTCCTAATAATGCACCTTAAACTTTGAAAGTTGGACTTCTGTGCATGTTTCTGCTTTGCAGTACGTTGAATTTTATTTCTGTGAGAATTACTAGGCTGCTTGAGAGAACTGAGCTGCAGGTTATAAATGTTCTAATGTTTTTAGAGAACAGTAGCCCCATCTTGTATTTCCTCTATTAACTTTTTTCTGGTACCTAGCACTGAGTAAATGCTGACTTGATCTTGTATTTTGTTCACTCTTGTGAAACATGTGCATGCTTTCTGCCAGTGTAGGGAGAAAAGCAGCCCAGTGAAATCCTAGAAGTTTGGCTTCTAAAAGCAAAGGCGCAATACTGAATGTCGCTAGAGTGGCTGTAGCTGTTGAGATCTTATAGACAAAAAGCAGATAATGTAAATATTGTTGAAGTCCAGGCTTGTCAAAAGTTTGTTTTGCTGGTACAGAGGCAAGGGAGGGTGGAGAAAGTAACTTAATTGTTCTGAAGATGACTTATGAAATGGAAATCTTGTTATCGTTTCAGGTAATGCTGGTACAGAGAGATCTCGCATTGAGTTTTGCCTGGGGCAAGAGCTTAGGCTGTTCCAGAACGTACATTGTTGGCTTGAAGCTGTCTCAGTACTAGCAAGAAATACTGATACATGCCTGCTTGTGTGTCTGGCTTCCACCCGAGCAGGAGATTGTTACTGCTGCATTAGGACCATCGTCCTAACCAACTCCATCCCTCTGTATTTTAGGTTTTAGGTAACACTACTGGTGTGTAGGATAGGATGGTGCTGTTAAGGAAGGCAGCTTCTCTAAGCTGTGTCAGAAGGATGAGGCTTCCTTAATATAAAACACTTAGGTGGTATGGATTTCTTTTCATCCTCAGTTCTGGCAATTCAGGGCTCCTCAGGTCAGGTTGTCCATCTTTTTCCTTGACCGAGTTCCAGATATCTGTATGGTGTTTGAAGTTCTAGGGCATCATCTCCTGAAGTGGATCATCAAGTCAAATTATCAGGGGCTTCCACTCCCTTGTGTCAAAAAGATCATCAAACAAGTAAGTTCCAGTTCTGACTGCACTGCTCCCTGTGACCCAGTGAAAACTTTCACCAATATGTCTCAGATCTGAGAAAACAAAAGTTAAAGATCAGTGTTATATCATGCAACAAAATCATTCTTGGGTTAATATTTCCTTCCCCTACTGCAAAAGCCTTCTGCTACATATATTTATTTTCTGATACTTAAACCGTGATGGGAGGCTGGCTTTGCTTTTAACCTCTTCTTACCCTGGTTATTCCTCATAAGTGACAGTATTTATTTAAAACTGTCACAGTGAGTACAGTGCTTAACGATGGGAAGAGCAAGAGAAACCTGTTCTTCCTACTGGATGGTTGCCGAAGAAGAAACATGTCAAGTGGAGGGGAGGGTAAAACATGATTTTACTGTAGGGTATTAAGATTAGAATTTCAACTGTGGTAAGTTAAGTTATGAGGGTAAAGAGACAGTATTTTAAATTCATAGCTAAAATCTGTATGCGAACCTGTTTTTCTGGAACTGAGTAGTAACCACTGATCATGTTAGCTCTAATCTGGAGTATTCTCAAACACAAGTCCTTTGGGTTCATCGGTCATCCTCCGCAAGTCTGCATTTTCACTTCACTCTCATTGTGTTCATTTGTTCATTCTTTGCTAATGATCAGTTTCCTTCTCTCCTGTCTGCAGGTTCTTCAGGGTCTGGATTACTTGCACACAAAATGTCGAATCATTCATACAGATATTAAACCTGAGAACATTCTTCTGTGCGTTAATGACCAGTATATCCGCAGGCTGGCTGCAGAAGCAACAGAGTGGCAGAGGTCTGGGGCTCCCCCACCATCTGGCTCTGCAGGTGCTTTTTTCTTGAGAATTGTTGCTATTTCCTCCCTACGCCCCCCCCAAATCACAACTGATCTCGCTAGGGAAAACTTACTAATTGAGTACAGTGGAACAATAATGCAAGTAACTTTTGAAAAGCCAACTGTCAATTGTGAAGTCAGTCATAAATTGTAAATTTGAAGATGATCAGGATGGCAGTTGTATAAGAAAAATGGAGGGAGGATACATGCATGCTGGCACCTGCTTTCAACGCAGCTAATCTGGCACTGATAAAGAGGTAGGGCAGGCAGTCTTGTGTAGCACACCCTGCACGAATGCTAATGCACTCAAAATAGTGCTGGAGTGAAAATGCGTTGAGGCACTCCTCACGTTTTCTTCAAAAGTTTATTTCCTTTCATTGCATGATGCTGGAAATGCATTTTGTGAAGGTCTCAAGATGATTTACCTGTTGTCAGTTTGCAGAAGTCTTAAAAAGTTGTAACAGAAACAGCTTCCTCAACATGCTAACATCCCTACAGATCTGAGAGCAAATTTTCTCTTGTTAATAATTCCTCGTGTTCTTCCTCAGACTACCCATCTGTTCTGGCGTGTAGTTTCCAACAACTACTGCAGTGTGTATTGGAAGGCTCTGTCAGTCATAATCTTACAACACCAATTTTTAGCTGAGTCTATCGTAGCATAGCTTAGCTCAGGGAAGCTCCCTTAACTTTAGTATTTTAATGGTTTGGTTTGCATTTTCTTTTCGGGAAGATGCAAAATACATGCAGTAAATGAAGCTGCGTGACAGGAAGTTTAAGTCTTTGATATCAGTCAAGCAAGTCTACTATCTGGAATTTTAATTATGCATTTACTCATTTAATGTTTTTATCTTTTTTTATTCTTGTACTTCTGTAGAGAAGAGAGCCTTCAAAACAACATTTGCCGTTATCTTTAAAATGTTACCAAACCACATAGGAAAAAACTTACTTTAAGATAAGAATGCAGTTGCAGTTTTTGACTATAAACATACTGATTTACTGATCTTCCTTTCCCTTTCAGTGAGCACTGCACCACAGCCAAAACCAGTAAGTGTAATAGCTTTCATGTGTAAGTACCCATCTGCGTACAGTATCATTGTTTCGTAATGCAGTCAGCATAAGGGAAAGCAACCTTATATCAGAAGAAAAAGTGTGGTTTTGTTTGTCATGGACATAGGCATTGGGTTCAGTGCTGTCTTGGAGATGTAAGTAGTATTAGCTCATATTTCACCAGAATGAGTAGCCTTTTTGGTGGTCTCAAGGCCTGTTGTGAAAGGTGGCTGCTGCCTGGGGAGTCTGAGATCCCTCATTTGGAGAATATTACAGGTTTCTCGGGTCAGCATAGAAGTGTGCTGATACGAGCCATAGACAACTGCTCCAAACCCCTTAATATCTGCTTTTTATTTTGGAGACGTACTGTCTCCAGAGTTTTCATCCCAGACTGCTTCCTCAGCTCTGAAATAAATTGAAACTTGATGCACTTTAGTTTTATTGAAATATGAAATGCTAAGTCCAATATCTCTGCTTGCTTCTGTGTAGGCTGACAAAATGTCAAAAAATAAAAAAAAGAAGTTGAAAAAGAAGCAGAAACGGCAGGCTGAGTTGTTAGAGAAGCGAATGCAAGAGATAGAGGAAATGGAGAAGGAAGCAAGCCCTGGGCAGACACAGCCTGAAGAGGAGGAAGAAGCTCAGAGCCCCCTGGAAATGCTCATAAAAGTTAGTCCACCGGAGGAAAACGTCAGCAAAAAGACAGGTATGAACCTAAAGTATTACTAAAGTAGCACAGTTGCGTTGCGTTCTGCCCAACTAAAGAGGTTAGGAAATTTCCTGTTACAAATTGATTTAATGAATGATTGTACTCAGTTACATCTTCAGAATTACCTGCTTCTGAGGGCTGCCTGAATGACCTTCAGCTATTAATTTGTTTAGACATGTTGTGCTATCTTCTCCTTTTCCACTCTTCCAGCTGAAGTCACACAAGAGCAATCTGTTCTAATGGAAAGCAGCGTGGAAAAATGTGTAACAGAAATAAATTGCAATGGAGTGATACAAATGACGGACTTCCCAGACTCCGGCAACCAAGGGTCTGTGCGACTTGAGGATGACCTTCATAATGCCAATGACTGTGGTGATCACCCTCACACACAGAAGGAGAACTTCCATAGTTGTAATTACAGTCAGCGTAACGGTGACTCGGAGAACAGGCCTCAAGAAGCAATGTCGGACTCGTTCGTGCCCTTAGTTTCGGAAGATTCCATGGTGTGTCAGCCCACGTCCAACGAAGAGCGATCATTCAATGAGCAGGAGATTAACCATTTGCAAGAAAGCATCCGGACAGAGATACCTTCAGAGGACGAGAATGAGAATAATAGCCCGTCAGACAACAAAGGTATAAGAGGAACCCTGTGAGAAAGGGCTCCTTGGCGTGGGAGAGTTGTGTTACAACACTTTGTCAGAGTGTTAATAGAAACCTCCATTTCGTAGGCTGAAGTGATCAGAACCACCTGTCTCAGACTTTTCCTGCCAGGAGTAATTAACCTGACAGTCCTACTCTTGAGACATTTGCTGTTTGTAGCTTCCAGTTGTAGTTGTACCTTAGTTTTGACTATTGAATGTATAAGAGTTCCGACTCTTAAAAAATACCTATACATTTGTTTTTCAGTATAGGAACATTCCCTCCTTTGTATTGGGTGCTGCTTATGTGATTTTCATTAATAGTTAGAAATGTAAGTCTACAAATTGTCACTGGCTGTTAAATTGTGGGATAAGTACTGGTCAGTATGTTCTGATAGTTCTGTTCTTAACATGGAGCATGGGTAACTCCTCTCAGTTACTTGAGATAAGTAAATGTTTCCCCAGAATTGGAAATGCAGCCTAACAGAAGCAAAGCTTATACAGCATAGGAAAAAAAACCCTCTTTAATGCTTCTGTTTAAATATGATTTGTTTTAGGGGTAAAATTTGTAAGCCTTGTAGGTTTAGGAGAACATAAGACACAATAGTGTACAGCAGTTGAAATGCATTCCGGGTGTTCTTAAAACTTGAATCATGTGATAAAACTGTCCTTTTTTGCATCTTTGCAACAAGATCAGGTGAAGTATATCTGCTTGGAGAAGGAGGGAAAAACTAACATTTGTACTTTTAAAAATAATTCTGTAGCATTTTCTTGACAGAGTACTACCGGGGGGTTATGTGGATGAGAAGTAGCAAGTGAAATGTAAAGATTTTGAAACTTGAACTGCATTAGTTGGATGCCTCTGTGAGATCATTAGGTGTATTTTGCTTGCTTTAGAGCTACAGCTGGATGTAATTTAGTGACTTAGTATTTTTTACTCTCCACTGTGTCACTGAGGTTTTCCCAATATATGCTTTAGCTCTTGCAGCTGTCTGTGGTGCAGCAGAGAGTGATGGGTGCATCAAAAAGATGCTATGATATGTGGACTCTCTTACAAAAATTTAGGAAGAATTAAGGGTTGAGAAGCTTGTTTTGGTTTTGGCAATGCCCTTATTTAAAAAGCTTGTCTAGATACAGACAGACATTTTAAGTCTGTGGGAATAGTGCTGGGAAACAGTCACTGTTGCGTATGCTCACTTGTCCTGTTCCGTAACCCCGGCTGGGTTTGGTGGTCGTAGCTCTGTGGTTTATAGTGCAAACTGATGCTGATTTTTATACCTAGGCTTCAGGGAGGGAAAAGTTTTGATCCGTAAGCAAAACTCTTCCTGGGAGAGGGCTGTAGGGTTGGGGTGACAGATGGTGACACTGTCCATGTAGCTTTAATCAGCGGTTGTACGTGTTGCCTCTAGGAAAATCAACTGCTGGGAATTTCCTTCTTAATCCTCTTGAGCCCAAGAATGCAGATAAGCTCAAAGTGAAGATAGCTGACCTAGGAAATGCCTGCTGGGTGGTAAGTTTACAATCTCTTCACATTGACTGTTTAAACCTGCTAATTCATTCACAGTATGCCAAGACGGAAAAAAATTCTGTAAAATAGATTCTGTCTTAGACCTGCTTGTGAAAGTAGTGACAGTTTGAAACTATGTTGAGGGGGAAAGGGGGGAGAGCAGGGACACGAAGAAAGAAATTGTCCTTTAACATGGGATTTCAGCCTGTGTTCTGGGTGCCTCACTGGTCATTAGATTACTTCTAATAGGCCTGCGAACAGTGTCACATATAATGTGTAGAAATCTGCGTATGTGAAACTTCTGAAGGAGTCTGTGGCTCTCCTGGAGAATGAGAAAGTTGCAAGCAGTTGCTCTGATGTGCTAGCTCTGTAGTTTATTAGCTTGTCAAACCATTTCAGTGGATTTATAAGCACATGAAAGAGACTCATAAATAGTTCTATTCTTTGATGGTTGTGCTTTGCTGCTTTTAAATGTTTGACATTTCAAATAGAAGAAACATCTTATTTTACTTGGCTTTTTAAATGGCAAAACACTTCAGATCTGAAGGGAGAGATGAGTCTCAAACTCAGAGTTGCACGTCAGGCTTGCATCTGGCAAGGTGGTCTCTGACACGGGTGTTGCTTATCTGCTTCAAGATAGCTGAATTGTGGCCTGTCTGCCGTGATCGGCTAGGAGAGGAGCTTCTGTGCCAAGTCTTCCCTTACTCTATTTTTGTGGAGCAACTCTCAGTTGCTGGACTCTTTTGCTTAGGGAGCGTCTCATGTAGAGCATTTAACCAGCATTTGTAGGAATATAATGAAATACTTAATGGGAATGTAAAATTCAGATGAAATGTAATGGGCAAGAGCTTTGACCCACTCTGGCCTTCCAGGTTGTTGATTCTCCTTTCTTAAACAGGCTCTGTTTAGTAAAACATTTCTTCTATTTAGCACAAGCACTTCACTGAAGACATCCAGACAAGACAGTACCGATCCTTAGAGGTGTTGATAGGATCGGGGTATAACACCCCTGCTGACATCTGGAGCACGGCGTGTATGGTGAGTGGTGGCCCCCTGGGGGATTTTAAACCCTTTCTGCGGAGCATTCTGGGAAGCACACGCATGCTGTGCCCTCTGGACTGCTGAGTCACCAGCCAAGCCTGGCAAAAAAAACCCTCATAGGCGTTCAGCCAACTTCCAGACTTGCTGAATACCATGTTTCCATACCAAAGTTGTTTGGGTTTTGGTTTTTTTTTTTTTTTCCATGTGTGGCTTTCCTTTTTGAAAGTTAGTTTTGTTGTACAGCACCGTCTGATTTCAAATCTGATTGTACTTTGTCATGCTTTGTGGAAAAATGAGACAACTATGCAATTCTGAAGACAAAATCTTTTTACATGAAGAGCCTTTCTGCTGCATCCAGCACTGTTTCACAGATGTCTTCAGTATAATTTCATATTTTAATCATATGCATCCTCTGCATGTTTGGAATCATTTTATAATCTGAGTAATGCTGAGACGAGGCTGAAATTGTTCCTGTAATAGCTGGCAAATGTAGAATATGGTGATTTAAAAAAAAATAATCAGTCTAGCCAGTTACTGCGTGTACCTCTTTGGTGTCTCCATTCTGTGTTTTCTACAAATCAAAGCTTGTTTTTTATAGGTTAAGCTTGGAAAATAGTGAGTGAAATAATTTTTGTTTTCTTGGAGAACAAGCTGTGATTTTGATGAATGTGGTAAAGAGAATGCGATAGGGTCATGTTGTCTCTCCAGAACATGTGGCCAGAATTACACAGTGGTTACTCTGAGTGTCCAGTTGAGTAGTTTGACAACAGCAATCCATAAAGAAAACTAAGAATACAGAAGGTCAGAGGAACTGTTTTGGGTAAAAGTGAATACATGAAGTGTAAACGCTTCATGGAATTTAGGGGTGGTGAGTTGAAACGAATGCAAATGTTTTTCTCATTTAAAACATGTTTTGTATCTACAGGCAAATGTTCAGAGATTAACTGTTTGAAAAATGTCCCTTTACTATCTGAAATTTGGAGAGGAGGGGAATCTTTAAAAAAAAAAAACCAAAACCTGGAGTTTGGACATGACATCATTTTGCAAAATGCTGTTGAAGGCAGAAGAGAGGCGAAGCGTGTGAAATGCCTTAACTTTGTACGGTTTCACACAAGCGTAGTGCATTATGCTGTGATCCAGAATTCATCACAGATATGCCTATGGTGTTTTTTTAATGCAGTTTTTAAAATATTGCAAAGTAATTGCACATCTTAAGATGGTAATGGTGTACTAGAGTTTTGCAGGTTATTCTTCCCACCACTTGCGCTTCTGGCCCACAGAGATATGCAGGATCAAGCTGCAGCACATCTGACAGTGTGCAGTGTATGAAAGTGATTTAATGTGCTCATCTCTGTTTGTTTAGGCCTTTGAGTTAGCAACAGGAGATTATCTGTTCGAGCCTCATTCTGGGGAAGATTACTCACGGGATGAAGGTGTGTTTGTCTAAGTATTTCCTTTTTAAAATGGGACATGAAATTCAATGGTTGCTGCTTCAGAGTGAGCACTCTCTTATGAGTTAGCAATGCAAAGGCTCCTTGCAGAAAGATTGTTTACCCAAATCAGCACCAACTGGGCTCAAGCCTCTGCAGTAAAACACCATGCACCGTGTTCTTGTTCTGGTGTTCCCCATTCCTCTTACTGACAGATTCTCTATCTTGCTTCTCAAACTGATCATGCTGCAAATCGCCCTTACCTTGTTTCCCCTTGCTCCTTGATTTTGTTGCTTAATGTAATCTGATTTCGGGTGGATCTCAAAAGTAATTTTTAAGGGAGATAGTCTTTGTTCTTATATCCTAGAGAAGGAAACTGGGGCGTAGAGATGTCTTGTGTGGATGTGTCTCATTGTCTTTTCTTCTGAAAAAATGCAGATCACATTGCATTGATCATAGAACTTCTGGGGAAAATACCTCGCAAGCTCATTTTGGCAGGAAAATATTCCAAGGAGTTTTTCACCAAAAAAGGTAATAGGCAACAAAGCAAATGTCACTTAGCCCTCATCCCCTGCCCCAAATACACGAGTGCCTTGCTGGAAAACACCAATTAACAATAGATGCTGGCAAAGATGCCTCTTTAAGTCTTCCCTTTGCTTTATGAGAGGCTTTCTCATTAAAACTGCAGCTAAATATAAGGCATTCTTGTCTAACTGCTAAAAGGATCCTGCATCCTAGTACCTGACACCTTGGTGGAGATCAACTGCAGTAGTTAGAAAAACAGCACAGTAGCTATCTCTTCAGACTTGATTTGGCTTTATTTAGCTGATCTTTGTCAACTAGAGGTGTTGACTCCTCTTTGAAGTCCTCTCTAGACAACTTTGTTCCATTTCTAGCATGTCAGTCACCTAAATAATGCCTTGCATCCTGAGCTGTGTTGCTCAGGACACACTATAGCATTACCATAAAGCCATGAGTACCCCAGAAGTGTACTGAGTCTCAAGAAGATGTTTTTGACCTAGTTTAATGCTTTTTTTTTTAAAGAAACACAAACCCTCTTTTGTTAGTAGTGTATTGCTTCCTTGAACAGTGCTGCATGTATTGCACCTATTCCAAAGTCAACGACTCAGTGTTTATCTGTCATGTCAACCGGTATAATTGGTGATTTAATGAAATTAAACAATATTTGCTGATATTGGATCAAAAATATCGGGAAGGTGGAAAAAAAACCTTCAGGGAAGTACGTTTCTAGAACAGTCTTCAGAAGCAGATAGAAAAGGGGGTTTAGTGTAACTTATTTCTTCCTTCGGTATGCCCTACCATTTTATACTCCCTATGCCCAACTATTCAGAACAGTTTGTGAATTCGGTCTGTCTTGTTTAGCTGTTTGGATTATTTTATTCAGCTGCTCTGTTCCCATGCCTTGCACTTAACCTGTCTGTCTTGGTTTTCAGGTGATCTGAAGCACATCACCAAACTGAAGCCCTGGGGCCTTTTTGAAGTCTTGGTGGAAAAATACGAGTGGTCCCAAGATGAGGCAGCTGCATTCACAGACTTCTTATTACCTATGCTGGAGCTGATCCCAGAGAAACGAGCTACAGCAGCAGAGTGTCTCAGGCACCCCTGGCTTAACTCATAGAGCCTCCAACCCAACGCCACAGCACTACACTCTGGTTTACAGCATAGCATACATGCACCCAGATGCCCCTTCCCAGATCCATATTTTTTTTTTTTTTTCCCCCCCTTGTTCATTTTCAGTGTGAAGTTCTTCCTTCAAGGCTTCCAAGATTTTAGATAAATCTGACCTGTTCTGCTGAGTTTGCTTGTGTGACTCCACTGGGGACTCTCCTCAGCCAGTGGGCATCATCTGTGTTTTGCCTTGATTGGGCTTCGCCAAAGACTAATTGACTAGAATATGAAGTTTCTCTTTCTGAGTCTCCTCACTGTTAATCAACGTGTGCTACAGATGTGAGCTCACCTGTGCTCAGATATGCTCCCTTAGCTAAATTTCAACTCTCCTTTCCTCATGAGGGGGACGTGAAGATCCCAATGCCTCCTTATCTCACTGACTCAGGAGTCGATTTCCCGCTGTTCATCCAGTAGCTAGTGATGGGGTGAGAAGGAACAGATGGCACCAAGGTGGTGGTGTTAGTTCCTTGTAAAGGCCTCCAAATCCTCCATCATTTTCTAGGTGTCTACCGTATTCTTTGCTTTCCTGTCACATAACTTTTCTTTAGTTCTAGCTGCTTAAATCTTTTGAAGAGAGCTATTTAAACCTAGGTTTTAGTATCCTTTATTTCTTCCTCCAAAGTGCCCTGACCTTTACTTTTTCCTTCCCTGTGCCCACATAGTCAGAATAGTTTCTGAACTCGGTGATGTTTTCTACTTTAATGCCTGTGACTAAAAGGTGACAGGGAAAATGAGCAAAAGCTGGAACTGACTCAATGCACAATCTTCAGCATGCAGATGGGCGCACGCTTTGGCTGCAGAGAGGTGGCCTCGTTGCAGGCAACTCTCCTAATGTTTTAGTGAGCTGTAAGTTTTCTGGTTTTTATCCCTTACTGGCACTTTTTTGCCTTGCTTGAGGCGGTTGCTGTATCTGTGAGAGAGTGGCTTTCACTGATGCAGTCTACTCTGGCTCTTAACTTTTGACCGTTTACTTTTTCCCAAGAAAAGGGTGGCAGCATCTGTATCGCAGCCATGCTATAGCCCTTCACTTTCAAAATCAACACTTGAAGGCCCAGTGTAAAGATTTCTTTTCCTTTAACTTGCTTCAGGTGCTGGCCTTCAGAAATAACTTCCCGGCATGGGACTGCCTTTTATTTTCTGGGCCGTTAGCACAAGGAAAGCTAGCAGAAGTGGAAGAGAACTAACTTCTCCATGTAGATACTGGATTAGAGGCTGTTTCTAGAGTTACCCTGAGTAGAAATGTTCTGTGGGGTTTCTATATAAACTTCGCAGAGGGGTTGGATATGAGTAAATGGGTTAATTTTAATTAAAAGTTAAATCACTGCGGCGTTTGATAGTTTTACGATGGCTTCTTCTAGACTTGCCCATCCTATTACAGATTCAGTGCATCCTCCTCTACTCTAAAGCAAGATTTGGCAGCGTTGAGACTTCAGAGGCGCTTCCTCACCCTGGACCAAACAGGCCTTTGGATTCGTGGTGGCTCTCGGAGGATAGAAGTTGCTGCAGGAGCGTGCTGGAGGCCACGCAGACGCTATCCGAGACAATTACGTTGCCAAAGCTGCCAAGACCACTGTTATGTGTCCCTTCCATATGTGTGTTTGGAACTGCTGGTTCGTAAGGATCGTTCTTTCATAAACCTTGGTGTCATTTAATCCGTTTGAAAAGATTTTTTCCAGTCCAGTGCCTGATTAGGCTTATTAATGCAAGTCATGCTGCATGTTCTTTTAGGGGTAGATCAGGTTCTCTATGCATATAATCTAAAATTAAAGGAAGGTAACATACCAAAAGAGTTTTAAACTGCTGATTTGACCTTCCCCCTCCCCTCCCCTTTCATCTGGCGTTTTCCAGTTGCGTGTTACTTCCAGATCTGCTCTAGAAGGACTGCGGACAGGACTGGGTTCCAAAACACCTACTGTCTACTTACTGTGAAGATATATTGGCAGGGCAAACAATTTCTGTTGTCTTGAAAGGTCCCCCGGTCCTGTGTACTTGAGACTGGCCCATTCAAGAACTTTTTCCTAGCAGGGGTCTGCGTGCTTCGACTCAGAGAGCTCCTTCCCGTCCTTCCCTTCCTTCTGCCGCCCCTGACTGGAGGAGGAGGTGGTTTTTTTTACTGTGATAGCCAAGGCTAGAGCCAGCTTGTGAGTTGAAGACCTGCAGAAGTAGCTGTTGGGATTCAGTCTTGTACCGTGTGCTCGTTCACTTGGGGTTTGTTAAATTTCCAAATTGCCGTAAAGTGCTCACACTAAAGGATTTGTACTTGCTGTGTCAGTCTAAAACCTGAAGGAAAATACATTTTTATTCTTTCTACTTGGGTGCTTTGTCTTTTTTTTTTCTTTGTGAAAGCTGAACAATAAACAGATTATTTAATAACTGAGCCCTATTCCTCCTATGTTCCCTCTGTAAGTCTGTTCTTTCTGAGCTAGGGGCCCATTGACTGAATTTTCTTTGCTAGGGAGCACTTAGTTTTGATTTCCAGAACGAGACGTGAGGAGATGGTGTAGGTGAAGATTTTGTTGCTGCTGTTGTGATCTGTTTTAAAAGGGGGAGAAATCAACAGCAGGACCACTCTGCTGGAATTTTTCCATTCTAAAATACATTTATCTCCAAGTCTGGGATCTCTCTGCTGTCCTCCCTAGCAAAGAGGCTTAACAAAACCTTCCCAAACACTTTTTTTTTTTTTTTTTTTTTTTTTTTTTTTGAGGGAGGTATAAAACTGGAAGGTGCTGGTTAGAACTGAATTGAATTGACCACTGCAGGAACCAACACATTACAGCAAGTAGAAATGAAAAGTGGTAACGCAGGCCGCTTTGGGGTTCTGAGCAGGTAAGAGCAGGATGGGATGATGTGCTGCTCTGGCTCCTGCAGGAACGGACTGTGCCCAAGGCGGGTAGGTGGTGGGTGTGATGAGAAATGATGGCTAAATCGGATCAAGCGGCGGGTTATGAGGGTGCAGGGAGGTGATGCTGACTGGCACCATCTGCTGCAGCCTGTGGGTACTGTTATAGGCCTGCAGCCCTGCAGATTTGGCTGCTTGGGTTTGGTTTTTTCTTCCCCCACCTACAGAAGTGCCCTTCTTAAGAGGTTGTGCTTGGCTACCATTGCCCAGAGTGGGAAGCTGATTCCTGTCTCTGCTAGGAATTGGCTGTGTCCTGGCATTTTTCAAGTACAAGGGCAACTTAGGATGTGGCAGAGGACTTCCCCTGCCCTAAGGAGAGTAGCACAAAATCCAAAAGGCTTTTGTTTTTTAATTCAGAAGTAATTGAAAGAAAGGCATACAAACCCCAAGGAGCAGCAAATCACCATCCCTCCCCTTTTCCCCAGGTTTGCTGATGGGCTCAAAATAAACCAACAAAACCAAACCAAACCTGTGTCCAGTTTGGGCTCTTCCCTTCAACCAAACTCCACGAGAGCCGGGAGCTGATAGTGGCCACTTGGGTGAAAAGAACAGCGGTAGGAAATCCACAGAAGCTGGGGAGTTTAAAGCTCCTGGAAAAGTCTTTTTAAAGAAAAGGGCTGTGTCTTGCAGCTGATGGAGGAAGAGGTCCAGGTGTCCCTGGGAAGAGAAAGAAAAAGGTCAGCTGTGGCCAAGGGGAGCAGGACTTCAAAGGTTAAGGTTTTGGTTGCTTGGCAAGGATTTCTGCTCTGGTTCCAGGAGGCAAAGCAAGGGCTCCTTCCCCTGTAACCACCGCTCGAACCAAGGTGGCTCTCTGCAGTTGTCAATCCTTCAGCAACCCTCCAAATACAGCAGTGGTGTTACGTGCGCTTGGAAGAAACATTAAAAAATGTCGCTTACCTGCTGCTAGCTCTGTCAGTCACCCTCTTCTGCAAAACAAAACGATAATTACAGTGTTAACGGGGTACAGGAATAACAACGAAGGTGTGGGTGTGTTTTCACACCCTGCCTGTCCCACTGGAAGAAGCCCCATCCTCCCAAATACCAGCCATCCCCCATGCTGTGGAAATGCTCAGCAGCAGGATGGGGGCTCGGAGCTCCGCGCCGCCTGCCTTTACCTTTATTTTCCACTTTAAAATCAGACGGGAGGAGGTTGTCCTGCCGGTTCCCCAACACAAAGGCCAGGAAGGAGAGTATGAGAGCGTCGAGGATGCCGATGATGCAGAGGATGTATGCCCAGCGCACGGTGCAGGCGCCCAGCGTGTACTTGTCCGTCTTGTCCCCGCACATGCGCTTCACCTCGCTCGAGTCCCAGCCGTCGGGGTAGATCAGGCAGCCGATCATCAGCCCGGTAGCTGCGGGGAGATGGAGACGTTAGAGCGGCCCTGAGCTACCTGCGGAGCCCACGGTGCTTGGAGGAGCACGGTCAGGTGGCATCCAGCCGCAACTGCAGTGCTACAAAGAGAGAAAATGCTACGGACCAGCTAACCAGGCTTAAAGGTTCCCCGTGCCCTGCGGTTGCCCACCACATAGAATCATAGAATCATAGAATGTTTTGGGTTGGAAGGGACCCCTAGAGGTCACCCAGCCCAACCCCCCTGCAGGAGCAGGGACACCTTGAACCACAGCAGGTTGCTCACAGCCCCCTCCAACCTGGCCTGGAATGTTCCCAGGGATGGGGCCTCCACCCCCTCTCTGGGCAACCCCTGACAGGGTTTCACCACCCTCATGGTAAAGAATTTCTTCCTTAGATCCAGTCTAAACCCACCCTGGTTT